ATGAAATTCAAGAGCAGAGTGCGTCAAGAGTATGGTGTTTCTAAGGCCACGGAGATTCAGCCATGGGGAGAGCTTGCAGGAGACACTGTCATGGCAACGGTAGGGATTTCATGTTGCTTCTCTTCAGTCTCTCCCCCCCCCCTCTCCCCCAGAATCGCTCATCCAAAACTTCGATGGGGCTGGTCGCCCTTTGCTTGAATCCAGGACTCTTGAGCAGTTTGCAAACAAGGAGAAGCAGAGAAGGGAGGACCGGTGTTATGGACTGCCGGCTGCCAGCTGAGCTAGGGGCAGACTCGGATGGTGAGGTTGGGGAAGAGCTTGGGCCAATTTTGGAGTCTGGGGAAGGTTCTGATGGATGCTCAGCGTCAGATGCAGAGATAAAGCCAGGGCCGTCCGGCATTTCCCGGAGCCTCAGAGAGGCTTTGAAATTTCTATTTGAAAGAGACATTCCTAGATTTTGGTGAGGCAGGAAAAGACTTGGGAGGTTACAGCTCCCTTAAAGGAGTCTTGATTAAAAGCATTGTGTGTGTGTGTGTGTGAACGGAACTGGAAAAATAAATTGCACCTGTTATTCCTTCCCATCATTTCCAGTCCTTCTTCCCAGATTCATGGACTGACCCTTTCCCTCCCAGCGCCCTCACCCTGCCCTTATATTAGAAACCCTCCTTCGTCTGAAAAATTTCCAAGCATTGCAAGGAAGATTTCACACAGACCTGAAGCCTGGCGAAGCAGAAACACCAACTCCCCACCCCCCACCTCCGCTAACTTTGGGTATTCCAACACCGTCTTCTACCTGGAGGAAGCCAACATGCTTGGTCACTTGGGACCTATCAGAGGCTGAAACATACGAAGAACGGTTGCAGGAACTGGGNTCGTGTGTTTTAGTCTCCAGTCCTCTAATCATTGTGATTACTCTTCTCTGCACTTTTTCTAAAATCTCATCTATGAAGCTCTCCAACCGTAGCTTAGGTTAATTCAACAGTTTTTGGCATTGTATTATGATGGCATTCCTTGTAGGAAAAGGCCAAGGGCTTAAGAAATAAAGAAATCCAGATTTGGTAGCTCGGGAAGCCAAAAGAATATCTCGGACAGAATTATGCACACTAATTATGTGGCTCCATCGTGCTTGAGGTTGTGTACAAGAATATCTGAACAACTTTAATAGACTTTGAGGGCCGTTTGACCAAAACTTCAAAATTCCCACAATTAAAGATAAATGCTGCATTTTTCTTTTTCTTCTTTGAAACTGCAGATGTGCCGTTCTGGGTTTAATCCCATCAAGCAGCTGTTTGAAAACACAACAGGGGAAAAAAATGGGAGGGAGAGGGGAAGTTATTTTCAAAAAAAAAAAAAATCTAATTCAACTTTTGCTTGACCTAAATTTGAACATGGACAAGTGTAAAAAAAAACAAAAAACCCCAGGTGTCAACCTTGAAATTATTGGGGTTTGAGTCTGTTAATTCTAGGACAGGGGCATAAGGAAGGAACTTCCACTTGGTGACGAACTGGTATCGTTTAAAACCCATCGAGATGATTCAACATTTCAGGATCAAAATTTTGAATATCTGCCTTCATTGACTTTGTTACCCTCAAGAGACTTAAAAAAAGAATTTCATCCTGGCTCACTGGGATGAATTATTTGCACGCCTGATGGGAGAAATCGTCCTCCCACCTAGGTTACTGGGAAAAGGTGCTTCCAAAATTTATAGTGATTTTCTGTATGTTCATTAGAGGTCTGGGGGTTAAACCAGGACGGAGAGAGCGAGAGTGAGAGTGAGAGAGAGAGAGAGAGGGAGGGAGGGAGGGAATGTGAGCGAAAGAGAGCAAGAGAGAAACAGAGAGCGAGAGAGAGAGAGAGAGGGGGAGGGAGGGAGGCAATGAGAGAATGAGAGAGAGAGAGAGGGAGGGAATGAGAGAGAGGGAGAGGGAGGGTAGATTTTGACACGGGAATGGAAGCTTTTCTGATTTGTGGAATTAATGGTCCACAATTTGGAAAATAGAGGGACCAGCTGCTGCAAAGACAGATGATTTTGTGTGTGTGTATGTGTGTGTGTGTACACGTGTGTGTTTCACTTAGGGAATTCCATCTGAAAATGGGAACTCCAGTTTTCTTTCTTCAAATGCTCAGAGCTCCATCTTGTGGCGAGTCATTTTATTCAGGAACTTCTACAAGATTTTTATCCAATTTAGGGATTAAGATGAACCGGAGTTTTCCAAACGAAGACCGTCGGGGGGAGAAGTGTGGGTTTTAACGTTCGGATGAATTCCAGACAATTAAGAGTGCAGCCAATCATGGTTAAAGCATGGCCTAGCTACCACCAGGAGCCAAGCAGGGTTTTGTGCATTCAACCTCCTTGAGATACAAGAGCATCTACGGCAGGGGTGAAATCCAGCAGGTTCTGACAGGTTCGGGAGAACCGGTAGTGGAAAGTTTGAGTAGTTCGGAGAACTGGCAAATGCCACCTCTGGCTGGCCCCAGAGTGGGGTGGAAATGTTTCAGTTTCAGTTTAATAAAATTTGTATGCCGCCCACTCCCATTGGGACTCTGGGCGGCTCACAAGCAAGATAAAAGCATTTTAAAAAGTTAAGAAAAGATACAATTATTAAAATAATTCACCATCCATTCCGTCTAAGTGGGGCTGGATACAATCAACAGCCCCAG